GTACTCTCCCCTTCATTAAAAGTTCTTTTCATTTCCCACTAACATTCATTTACATTTTTCTTACTGCAACCACAACCAAACATTTTTACTTTATTTTCACTTTCTTAATCTCCGATTCAAGTTAAACTGGGAAGAATTTTAAGGGACGGATGGAGTAATTAATGTGTATAGCCCCATGCATGAATAAATCATTACATCAATCTATGTTGACAAGAAGCTAATTAAGTATGTTAAATGAAATGGAACAGGATAAGGAGGTATTTGGTGGAAGGGTTTTGCTGCCACACACACAATGCTGTATGGCATACAATGCACAACATCATATGTGGAACGGCGACGAAGATGGAAGGCTATCTGGAAGCCGTGAACCACCGCATGAAGTGTGACGTGACGGTGGTCCACGGCCGCGACGACATTCTCATCCCATTGGAGTGCAGCTACAACGTGCAGTCGAGAATCCCACGCGCCGAGGTGAAGGTGGTGGACAACAAAGATCACATCACCATTGTTGTGGGAAGGCAGGAAGCCTTTGCCAGGGAACTAGAACAGATCTGGGAAAACTCTTCCAGCACTTGATGAACAACCTACGAACTTCTGCTGGCCATGCAACAACGTTGTCTGATTATATATCTTTATAGAGTATATATGAATTATCTTAGCTTTATATAATCGTGTCCAGTTTATGGAATTTAAATTGGATCGAGATATTCATTCTATGCATACGTGTTCAGTGTTCATAAGGAAAATAACCTTAAGAATTGAATATTAATTTACACTTATTGAGTGGGCAAGTTGTAACATTATAGCTCCTACAAATTAAATACATACCACCATTTATCACCTTCGCTAATACGTAGTACTACGTATGATTTATTATCTGGAATGAACTAATGATCCCGTTGGGAATGGAATGGAATGCCAAGTTATTTTCATTTAATTTATTATTTACACATACGTGTACGTTTTTGTCAAAAAAAATTAAACATGTTTACAAGCTCTACGTTGTAAAGTTATTAAGATCGATGTTTTCAATCCGAGTAAAACATACGTAGTACTAGTATTAAAAATGCAAAAAATGGGAGTTCATGTTAAAAATTCCTTAAATAGGAGTCTTTTTTATGCTTGGACCAGCTAGAATACTTGTTGAGGATCGATTCCGTCACCGATTCCGCCTCAGGCAGTCCGGAGTTCGGTTTCCGGTGGTCTCTTGTGCACACCTAGGCTAAGGGAGCAACACACCTTTCTAGCCTCGCCAACACTCACACTCACCTCACCAAGAAGGATGGATAGTTTGGCTCACTCACTGGTATTTACTCACCTCACCATGTTCTACTCCTTACTCACACAAAGAAGTTAGGAAGAAAGAGGTTGGCTGAGCTATCACTCTGTACGCTCCACTTTCACAAGCAAGGGTGCAGGGGCTGTCCTTATAGCATATGATTTTTGGTCTTATTAGAAGGACACTCAAATACTTCGTAATACACTGCACACACAGCTCACCATTAGCTCAATAATGAGCTGAATTTGAATTCTAACGGGAGTGGAAAACACTGATAGGCCAGACAGATAAATGGATACATTGTAGCGGGCTGCTAGAAGGTATGTTAACCATTATTAATATACAAAAAACGTTTGGGCCAACAATATATTAACAATCTCCACCTTTGGCCCAAGGTAGTGCACTTAGACAATCACGGAACCGCGGACTCATCATTGCCGGATAATTACAAGTATAATCACAAAGACAATACAAGTAATAGAGACACAAGTACTCTCGGGGTAAGATCACCAAGCATACTGAGTCCATAAAGGACTTAACTCTACCATAGGGTCATTGAGTTCAAAACTGAAACCCTCACAATGCTATTAACAAACACAACGTATGTTAATAGCCCACACAGGCAAGCATCCGGGAGAAGTTGGGGATCCCAACTAGTCCAATTCAACAACCACATAAGGTAAGTACAAAAAGAAAATAAATGAAACAATATTATTTCTATAACTAGCAAAGGTAGAGCTCACATAATCACATTGTATCACATTTTCAAAACAAAAAGAAAATAGCATACCAAATATCACAAAGATTTTAATTAAAAGAGAATTAAGCACATTTAAAGCAAACTCAGAGGAAATATAGTCAAACAATTTGCACATATCATTTCTCTCATGCTCCCTAATGTCTCTATCTCTAATAACATGGCAATCACGCAACTCAAGCATATTGCACACAACATTCATATCATGCTCCACCTTAATAGAAATATTATTTTCTTTATTTTCACCATGAAAAACATTTTCATTCACAAATTTGGGTTTGGTTTCAACAAGTAAATCAGAATGAACTTCAACAGGCAAATGCTCCACCTCATTTGCAGCAACATCAGGAGAAACAAGCAGGCACGGAAATTCATTTTCAACAAAAATGACATTTCTACTCATCAACACATTGAAGCAAGTTTCACTCCTACACCAAAGCCTATAACCTTTAATGCATTCATGATATCCTAAGAAAACATTGATAAGTCCGTATTTAGACACGCATTTGATGCGTGTTGAGATCGGATTTTGATGATTTTCCTAGCTTTAAGGTGTTACAAGTCTCAATTTTAGCTCAAGTTATGTTTAACAGGTGTTGGTTCGAGTTTTGTGTCATTTGGAGTCAAAATCAGGATTTTAGAGTTCGGCACTGGCGCTTGAGGAGAAATTGGGATGAGTTGAGAAGCATTTGAGATTGATTTGAGAGCTATGGAGGTCAACGGGAGGTTTACGATGAAGATTTGATGACAAAAGAGCTCTAGGATTGGCTTCGGGATCAAAAGAAGATGAATGAAGCTTGAAAACGACAATATAAATGACCTTCTGTCAATCGTTCAAGCATATCTCTTTGTAGGAACAAAAGATGGAAATGATTCAAGTTGAATATAAAAGATAACTTCAAGGGCTACAAATCATATGAAGACACTATTACGAGAATATGAGAGAAAGAAGGAGAAAACAGACGATGAAGTCAGACGATCTATGCTGCGATTTCAGAATGATACCTTCCACCGTTTGGATCATATATCTTTATTGGATGATTCAAATCACATTTGGAAAATTGGGGTGGATAGAGGACTTCATTATCTAGAACTTTCATGAAGGAAGTTTTGTCAAATTCGGAAGTTTGACGCACGCCGTGCGTAGGGGAACGCACGATCGTGCGTTTGAGGCGAAAAAGCAAGAGAGCCACTGCCACGTACGCACGATCGGGCGTGGCAAGGTACGCACGATCGGGCGTGGCAAGGTACGCACGATCGTGCGTACCCCCGAAACGCGGATTTCAGCCCCTTTTTAGTCCTAGTTCAGCCCAAACTCATCTGTTTTCTATAAATAAGACCCTCATACCCATATTTTGACGTTACGAACATTACGAAGAGGCCTAGGAACAAATGTAACACCGTTTTTACGCTATTTTCTTCCAAGACCCTGGGATTATTTGTAAGTTCATCTTTTTAATTAATGACAATTATTTCTATTCATCCTAATTCTGTTGATTCTTCAATTATTAATTGTGAGTAGTTTAATTAGGGATTTGGGGTTGATGAAGGGGTTAATCATGATTGATGGCTAGATTCTTGTTGATTTAATTGCATGAATGCCGTTTAATTTGTGTTTGAATAATTTAACTGATATCTTTTGTAACCTGGAACCGCGGCTAGAATTACAATTGCTTGTAGAATAAATTCAGAGAGATCTAGTTTATTCTAGGACACATTCACACACACTTAATCGTTCGCTAAGAGATTAGTAACGATTAAGGGGCCGTAAGCTCGCTCGTTTTGGCAATAATTTAGGATCCTGTCGCATGAGAGATCGGCATGGTCCCCTAAATTATTGTACTCTACGCCGCGAGAGCGGTAAGAACTTAGTAATGATTAGCTAGGCTCAATTAAATCAATTTCATGTATTTAGGCCTGTTCTGCCAGAAATCTGGTTACCCTGAAATCAATCCATGTTCCCTTCGTCGTTAATTAAGAAGAAACCGATCTTTTATTTTAATTGCTCATTCGCATTAGTTTAATTTTCCAACTCAATCATATCTCGCACGACGCATTTTTTATTTATTTATTTTTAATCGCTGAATTTAGTTAATTCTTCATTCCCTTTTTCCGTCCCTGTGGAGACGATACTCGTACTTACACCACTATATTACGATCTATTTTAAGTGCGAGAAAACACACATTAAACATATTCCTTAGTCCTAGGTTCAGATTTATCATTCTCACGATTTACATAAGCAGTACAACCAAACACTCTCAAATTTGGCAAGTCAAGCGGTTTGCCCATGAACACATATTCAGGGCATTTCCCTCCTAAGGGAACAGACGGGGACAGATTAACCAAATCAACAGCATAACAAATAGCTTCCCCCCAGAACTTATTAGAGAGCCCAGATGAAGCTAACATAGCCCTCACCCTCTCTAATAAAGTTCTAACCATCCTCTCAGCAACTGTAACACTCCGAAAATTTAAATAAAATATAATAGCTAAGATATTAATTAGGTAAAAATGTAATTTGTGAAAAAGTGACATTTTAACAATTTTAAACCAAAGTGTATTGATAATAATAATAATAATGACAACAACAACAACAACAAAGGTTGATTCTTTTTTTTAAACATATAAAAACTAATAAACGCCTATACACAACATGTTCGTACTTAGTCATGACCGGCAATTATTCTACATTATGATACAAATAAATGATACTAGTATTATAACAAAGATTTTGGGTAACGGAAGGAGTTGCTTGACATGCCCATATATTTCACACGTATATAGCATATATTAATATAATAATATAATATATAATAATAATAGTAATAATGTAATATAATCATAATAAATGGGAATGATTGATCGAATGGCTCACGCGGCATGCCTGAAACCCTATTCTAGAAACATCGAATCTGAAGGTATATATGTATGACTTCCCACCGATGGAGAACCCGCCGCCTACATATACACGTAAATACATTACATATACGAAGTATATCCCATTACATATACCATCTGCAGCATATACGACCATCACCTGCGTTTTCACCTATCACCAAAGTAACGAAGCTTCACCGTGAACTGTCGGCCGGTGTAGCAAAACAGAGGAAGAAAGAGGAGAAGCAGATGAACGTCGCCGGACTGATTCACGCCTGAAGAACAGGGAGAACCGCTGGAGAACCTTTCAGATCGCCGGACTGTTGAAACTAAGAAGGGTTGTTGTCGGACGTTGTCACGTTTCTAACGAGAATCGCTGGGGATAGAGGAATACGTCGTGACCACTGCCGGGCTGGTTTCTGGACCATCATCGCCGGAAGGAAGAGCTGCCGTTCTGCGTTGCAATGGATGTGCCGCCATGTCACCGCCGGTATACCTTACTGTAGACGATGAGATGAGAGTGCCGGGGTGAGGAACACCGCATTGAACGTCGATCCGCCCTGCGTCGTCAGAACCATCAATGAAGATAGGTACGTTCCTCTCCGTTGCTTCTGTATGGGCGTAATACTCCATTATTTGTTGATTTAAAGTGGGCTGAGTCTATTTTATTAAAGTTGGACCCAAATTTATTGTGAAGTGTTTGGATTATACTTACGGGATATTGATGGCTTTTAGACAATGGACTTTATGAGATTAGAATGAAGATGGAATTAACTGAATACATTAAACTATCATTGAAGCAATAAATTCATAAGCAAAGGAATTCATAAGGTTAGAGGATCGGATACAACTACAAGTTCATTACTTATTGATATTAGAATTTTAATATTCTTAGAAGGTCAATTTGGAGAAGACTGAGGTAGAAGCTTCGATTAGGAGTTATCGTGATTTGAGGTAAGTTCCACGACAACCAACATTATACTTTTACTCGTAAATCTATGTATGATTATTCATTTGAAATTATTATTTGAGTATTTATGAGAATTCTTGAACTTACATTTATTTTTGAGTATTTGGAATTATGTATGAATTGTTATCGAGAAATTATATTTGAGATTTGAGTATTTGATATTGGATGATATTTTGAGTAGCTGTTGGGATTAAAATTGAGATTTGAGCTATTTATGAAGTATTCTATATTTTGGCTCTCTTGTGAAATTTTAATGTATGGTACATTTGAGTGTAATTTGTTGGAGTTAATATTTTACATTGTGGATTATTTTGTGGAGTTTGGATTTCATATCCGTTTTGGTTGAGGTTGTGATATTGGTTTGGAACTTTGAGAGTGAATTGTGATTTTTGGTGAGCACCCAGAGAAATCTGTGGTGTCGGTTTGCCACATCCGGATAAATGTGGTATTGGTGAGTGGTAATGGCTATAAGTCTAAATCCACCAGGGGTACTTCCCAAAAGCGGAGTATCCCAGCTTAATCGTAGTGTAGTTGGTAGAAAAATCCCGACTACTCGGGCTTCTTACTACCCGGAGGGCTTGGAATCCCTTTTAGGGGGTGTGCACACTTAAGGTAGGAGTTCGGCTTCCACTAGCTTTGATTGGGTTTGAAGTGAACTGGACTTTGATTGGATTGAGGTGATTGAGATTATTTGATTGGCTTGATTTGGACTTGAGGTGAATATTATTTGATTGGATTTGTGGTGAATTAAAGTATTGGATTGATTGGAATTGTTGGATTATTGGATTGGATTATATTTGGATTGAGTTGTTAAATTATTTGTGGGTTTTACTTTTGGATTTGATTTGGTTTGAGTATGTTGATTACTCTTTATTATCAGCATTTATAAGTATTTTGAGATATTTGGTGTTTGATTTATGCTTTGGAATTATTGTAATGAGTTTTGGTGGTTTTACGTATATTTGGTATTTTATGTAATTTTTGTGGTTGGGAAATATTTGCTTATATTTGAGGTACTATTATTTTACTAGTGAATTATGCTATGAGAAGATTTCAATAATTGTTTAAAAAAAAATATTTTTCCTCCTAAATGTTTTTCAAAAACATTAAATTTTATTATTTATTATTTTATGGGGTTAGGTGGAACTTACTTAGCATTGTTGCTAATTTTTGTTTTCTTTTGTTTTTCTTTCTGTACTTGATTTTGTACAGGTAATGCTTTGCTGATGATGTTGATTTTGAGAGAGCTTTCGCTAGAGAAAATGTAATTACTAGATAACATTGTAGTTAAATTTAATTTTCAAGACACTTATTGAGTCAATTGTTTCTTTGGTGATTAGCCTGTGCACTCGGTTAAAGAAGAACCGAGTGTGGCGGTAACACCCGATTTCCCTTTTGGTTTTCCGCTGCATAACTCTGACGTTTTTGAATAAAGTTGATATTTATTTTGAATAAATTATTATTTTTGGGTGGGAAATTTGGGGGTGTTACACTCTCCACCTCCTCTGATCTCGTCCATGGCCTCAAGTTTCAACAATTTTGCCAGTTGGTGTCTCGGACGAAGGAGTCGACAGCCTTCACGAAGTGTGGTATAGTTCTTTGAAGTGCAGACAAAGTAAGAGCATATGAGCCAGTAGATAAGAAATTCTTACATATTTAGCCGAATTAACCTTATGTAGTTAATTAGGGAAGCAAATTCCTTGTTCGTGTCCGCTTTTTCCTCCACTTCCGGCGGATGAAGTTTCCGAATTCTCGTTGGTTACAGAAATAGCATATACCGGAGGATACTGTGGTTGTCAGACCTCAGGCCTCACCACCAGGATGCTTGATGATTATCGATTTGACACTGACGAGCATCTTCCGATTTTTTCGACAATGAAAGGAAAAGAGCGATGAGCTATGGAGGACCTGAGAAAAGAAACAGATTAAGATCTGCGCATATACGAATCTCGAGTTTTTTTGACTATTTTTGAAATAACAATGTTAAACTGAAAAAGTGAAAGTTAAAATTAAAAAAAAAAATACTCATGCGACATAAACGAATTACCAGGGTGAAAAGTTGTCCTAACGGGCAATTTCCACTATATATAATTAATACTTGGTATAATTAACAATCGCCCTTGGCCTAGTTCTCTTACATTATAATCCGGGCCCGTAATCCATTGGCGGTGGTGGTTGGGGTGTTTCGGCATCGGCGGGCACACCAGATGACAGCAAGTCAGCAACAACCAGAGGCAGAGTTCTTGCGACAGCGCGCTGTGTAATGACGGGCTCAATCCGTGCAAGAGTATTGTTAATATATTGTTGGCCCAAACGTTTTTTGTACATTAATAATGGTTAACACACCTTCTAGCAGCCCACTACACTGTACCCATTCATCTGTCTGGCCTATCAGTATTTTCCCCTCCCGTAAGAATTCAAATTCAGCTCATTATTGAGCTAATGGTGAGCTGTGTGTGTAGTGTATTATTTGAGTGTCCTTCTAATAAGACAAAATATCCTATGCTATAAGGACAGCCCCTGCACCCTTGCTTGTGAGAGTGGAGCGTACAGAGTGATAGCTCAGCCAACCTCTTTCTTCCTGACCCCTTTGTGTGAGTAAGGAGTATAACATGGTGAGGTGAGTAAATACCAGTGAGTGAGCCAAACTATCCATCCTTCTTGGTGAGGTGAGTGTGAGTGTTGGCGAGGCTAGAAAGGTGTGTTGCTCCCTTAGCCTAGGTGTGCACAAGAGACCACTGAAAACCGAGCTCCGGACTGCCTGAGCCAGAATACAGCAACGGAAACGATCCTCAACAGTGATATCAAAGCTTGTGTTGTCGTCGCCATCGATTTCAATGGATTCCGCCATCCGCCGCCGTTCGCCGCTGTTCGCCGCCGATTTGAGGTCTGGAAGTTTGGTACTCGTGGCTGGAGGTCGCTTGACACTGAGAAGCCTCGCTCGAGCTTTTTCCGCCCAAATCCGTCCGGAGCTTGTGGGTTGTTTGCCGCAGAAACCGTTGTCTGCCGGAGAGACATCGCCGGAGTTTTGCCCTGCTCGTCTCCGTCGCAGAGAGGTCGTTGCTTGCCGATTGGTTCGTCGCTGAAGCCATCGCCTGGAAGCCGTCATCTGCCGTTGCAAGCAGCTCGCCCAAATCTGTTCATCAATTTCGACAGGGAGACGATTTCAGGAGCTTGAAGCAGAGGGCTTGACTGGAATTGAGGCATGAAGACCTGGACAAAGATTGCAGAGGTTGAACGCTGGAAGCTGTCACGCGTCAACATTGAACCTGGACGCCTGGAGCTGCTGGTTGTTGAACTGGATTACACTGCTGGACCCGGATTGATGCTGGTTGCTGAAGGACGAAGCTGGATTTGGGTTGGGCTGCAAATGTTGGAATGGACCCAGAAGCTTGGAGCATTGACTGGAGCTGAACGGGTTCATTGGCAGAAAAGTCTTCGGTCAAAGGCAGTCAACAGTTCATCAACTCCGAAAAATCCCAATTTTTAAATTGGGTGGGTAAGGTCGAAACGCCTCTCCTAGGGTTTCGCTCCGGTATATTGACTTTAAACCTTTTTATCACTTTTGTAGTGATTTTTTAGTCTTTTATTGTGTAGAAATTCTTGTTTTAGGTTTACACTGTTTTTAAAATTGATAGAACTGTTGTGTTGTTTTGTGCTGAAAATTTATTATTTATTTGTGCTTATACGGAATAACAAAGGGTTTGAACTTGAGTTTGGTGCTCATTAATACTCCCCGCGTGTTCATGCTAGTTGCTTCATATATTTATAGCCATATAAATATTTAAATTGTTTTTCAGCGAAATTTACATTTTCTTTTGTTGCTTGTTTTTCTATGTGAAAATGTCTGCTTATAATCAGTATGGTATGGCTCCATTTAATGGAAAATCTGGTTTTAGCATTTGGAAGCAAAAAATTAAATGTATTTTAATACAACAAAAATGTTTTAAAGCAGTTGGTGAAACCTATTTAATTTCTGACACAGAAGATAAAAGGGCTGAAATGAATGAAAATGCATGTTCTGTGATTTATTTGAACTTATCTGACTCTGTGATTAGAAAAGTTGGAATTTTAGAGAGTGCTAAAATTCTGTGGGATAAATTGAATGAACTGTATACTGAGACCTCTTTGCCTAACCGGATATTTTTACTAGAAAAGTTCTTCAAATTTAGACTAGATATGTCTAAGGATATTGAAGAAAATCTAGATGTTTTTACCAAACTTATTTCGGATATTAAGTTGTGTGGTGATAAGCATACAGATGATTATTCCCCTGTTGCTCTTTTAAATGTTATTCCTGATTCCTTTAATGATGTGAAATCTGCTATTAAGTATGGTAGAGATAATGTGACTCTTGACATTGTGGTAAATGATCTTATGAGTAAGGAATTAGATTTAAAACAGATGGGTGAGGGTAGAAAATATGAGGAAGTTATGCATGTGAGGGGTAGAGATAATAGTAGACCACATAGATCTAAGTCTAGGTCTAATTTGAGGCGTTGCTATTATTGTCATGAACCTGGTCATTTCATAGAAGACTGTCCTAAATCTAGGAAAAATGAGCATAGTGAGCATGCTAATTTGACTACGTGTGAAGATGATTTAGGTGATGTTTTTATGATGAGTAATCTATGTGATTTTGACTACATGAGTTCTATGATATCTGATTCTTTGGGTAAATCAGATTGGGTGGTAGATTCTGGTTGTACTTTTCATATGCCCCCTTTGAAAAATGTTTTTTCAAACTATAGAGAGATTGAGTATGGCTTTGTGTCTTTAGCAAATGAGAAGAAATGCAATGTGCTAGGAATAGGAGATGTATGGTTTAGGTTCTCTTCTGGTTAGGTGCTTACTTTGAAGAATGTTAGGCATGTTCCTAAGTTGTGTTGTAATTTGCTATCTTGTGCTTCTCTTGAAAATGAGGGTTTGAAGGGAAAATGAGGAAAAGAAATCATGAAAGTTGTGAAGGGTTGTTTAGTTGTTT